CTCCTTGCCCCCAGCCCTTCCTCCCAGTCTTATACTTACCTGTTCCCATTCAACGACATACCTAGATGGCCTTGCTACTTGTCAAAAATATTCCCAGATATACCATCCCATGTGCTCTGCAATCCCATTCGTCCCTATCAATGGTTGGCTCCTATAATTGTTGTCAGTGGGCGTAATAATAAACCATAGTTGGCAACATTTGAAGAGAATCAGAAGTGACACCTTGAAGAGAGTTTATAAAAAAAAAAGAAATATTTTTTTTCCACATTACAGACAGTACTGTAATCCTATAGATTTGGTGACTGAACCAACTACAGGGGAAGCGCTGCTAGATTTGATCAATCTTAATAGTTTAATATTGTATTAAATTTACAGGGTCTTGGAATGTTTGGTGAACAGTGACCATAATATAGTTGCATTTCACATTATATTACTGAGAATGGATTCAAAAATGAAAATTAAGCTTAAAAATATTCAAAGATGCATTTAGTCTAGTAAAATAGAATTAACTATGTTTAGTAAAGATACAAATATTGTAAATTAATGCTGTATCATTCTTGATGGGAACAATATTTCTGGAACTAGAAAGAAATTGATATGTCTGAATAGGAAAGTTTAAGATATGATAAATTATCAGAGCACATTTAAATCCTAGAGCTAGGTACTGAAAATGCTTTAAGGAAATAGAAGAATTATGATAATATAAAATATGAGAAAAATAAACCTGTTATTAAAGGATGAACTGAAAAACTGTTTGCTGACGTTTTATGTATAAGTATTTAAATTGGAAAGAAAAAAAGAAATCTGGCAATATAGGCTCTCTTAAAAAATAAATGAGATAATAAAAATGTAGCTGATGTCATTTAATATGGTGAGGGGTAGTTAATGCTTCAAATTTAACATTACTGTCCTAACATAGGCAGTACTGTTTTTTGTTTTTTGTGTGTGTTTTTTTTTACTTCCTGCCCCTCTAGATCAACAGTCTTTTGTCGCCCCCGCAGGAAAGCAGCAGGTTCACTTTCATGGAGGCTACACTTGCAGCAAATATCACCTTCCCTTCACTCCCCAGTCACTGTGTTCGGCTGCTGAAAGTGAAGAAAAATACCCTGTACTTCCAAATATGGTACCTCAAGTTGTATATACGCGATGCTTTAAAAGCCCAAACAGGTCATCAATTTAGAGATATCTGTAAATATTGGCCCTAGAATTATTGTTCTCACTCTGGTGCATGCGGCAATACCTAACTTGCGGAGGTGGGGGTCTTAAAAAAATAAAAATGTTTTAAGCATTTATTTTTTTTTTTATTTTTTTTTACTTTACTTGATTGCTATCACATAGGGGAGCTATGTGATAGCATACTAGTGGTGACAGGTACTCTTTAAGGTAGCATTAGGGGTCAATTAGACCCCTGGTGTCACCTTTTCACTCCAAATAAGTTATTTGATGCATACTCCAATAGCTTATTGCCCGGCTTGTGCAGCCAAGCAATGACAGCTGAGGGACTGGAAATGATGCAAGGAGCAGGAGGGGCAGCAGAGCCTGGGAAACAAGGTGGGGGTGTCAAGCGGAGGGCACACTTCACCGCCCCCTGGAAGCGATCTGGTGGCAGCTCAGCTGCCAGAATCACATCCAGTGCAAAGCCAGGAAATCAGCATGACAGCCAGGCATCTAACACTTTCAGAAGGTTAGAAATGGCAGCCCTATATTTCTTCCTATGTGTAAAACATATTCAAACACCATACTTGCTCTAAGACATGTCAGACTGCTAAATGCCTTAAAGTTGGAGATCCATAAATATACATTTCAACTATGATACACATTTGTGGGAACACATAATAAGAAATGAAAAATATAGAAGCTCCTTATAGATACCAAAGGATATGTACCCTGAATGCTCACATATAGATTACAATCTCCTGGTGATTATAAAACCAAAATAGGGATCCCATTAAATATGAGCCATGTAAGTAAATGCTAGGAAGCCAGAACCAGCCTGTGCAAGCTCCTGTGTATGTGCATGTGCGTGGGCACAGTTTGGCGCAAAATTGTGCACAGCCATGTACCTCTGTGCGGATATGCATGCGTCTGTGTGCGCGGACACGTCCATGCGCTCATTTTAAACAGGGCGCCAAATGTGCTATTTAAGGCTGAGACATCCTAGCCTCCATGCTGACTGACCTTCAGCTGTTTTCTGCTATAAGGTTCCTGAATCCTGCATCCTGACCTGATCTCCCATTACTGACCTGGCTTTCCTTCACTTTCCGATTGCTGTCCCTCGACCTCGGCTTGTTTTGTACTTCGCTTTGGTCTGCTGTCTTGTACCTTGCTGCTCAAGATACCGAACCGGTCTGTCCCTGACTATGTCTCGTCTGCCCTTTTGGTACCCCACTGCCCGATCTTTGCTGACTCGGGTAGCCTAGACCTTGCTAGCGAAAACCTGCTTCCTGCTTGGAAGACATCTGCACTACTGATTCCAGCATTCCCAGTGACTTTACTATCTTCCATCACCCCTGTCCATGTGCACCTGTTCCACTGTCAAGAGGTGCTTGGACTGGAGCAGCAAGAGAGGCCGCCTACGTCGTCGCAGGCTCTCCCTAAGGTACATGACAGTCATAGTGCCAAGAAATGAAATCATGAGAGAGCTGTCACAGTTCATTCAGGTGGAGTATCAAGGCAACAATTCACATGTAAATAGACCCTTGAGGGATCCATCCTAATAGCAACCAGTGTCCTGATATGAAGAAACAGATGACTCCTCTGTTTATACATGGATACAGGGGTTGTTTTTTGGAAGACCCAGTTATTATGATTCATTAAACGTACCTTTACTATATTAGATAACAGGTTTCAATCCTTCCATGTGGAGCAACTCATTTTGCTTGGTCTGTACACGGGGCAATATTTTGGCAACATCGGACCCTGCTGGGTATTGCTGAGATGTCTCCATATACTGTATCATTGTATGGCAACTTTGTATGGAGCAGGTATTGTTGTTGCAGTCATTTTCTGCCTGAGAAGCAGTTCTCTTGGGACTTTCTAGAAAGGTTTTTTATTTATATTGGCTCCTGCTGTATAACTCTACTATGTGCCCTACACATTGTTTGTCAGTTTTCTCCTTATCTAATCATCTGTTTATCTGAGGCACTGTGTGCCTCGAGCCCCAGGCCATTATTTGTCCAGTTTGCCTTGCCTTCTTCATTATGATCTCTGTCTTTCTTCTGTCCATAAAAATGTTCTTGTGCATCCTCAAACCAATGTTTATTTCTCAGACTCTGGTATAAATCCTGTTGTCATTCAGTTATTAAACACATTAAAGCAGAAACTAACACACTAAGAAAAAAACCCTAAAAATTAGGGATGCACCGATACCAAGTACCATACTCAGTACAAGTACAGATACTTTTTGAGCTCCAAGACTAGACTAGAGAAAAATTTAAAAGTTAGGCGATAGCTGTCCTTTGTAAGGAGCACACAGAGCTCCTGGGTTTTGTACATCTCTGTTTTAATGTATTTTGTTTGTTGGATTTTGTTTTTATAAATATAAAGGGATGTACCGATACCATATTTGCAAGTACAAGTACTGATACTTGCCCAGGTACTTACAGACACGAGTACTGATACATTTTTGTTTATTGTCATATGACAGTTTTTCTAAAACAATACAGACTCTAATGATTTCAGGACAGTGGTGGAGCGCCAGGTCCCTCTGCTACCTTGGTAGCTCTCTTGAAAATGCCAAGTATCGGCACTGGTATCTGAACTGGTATCGGTGCATCCCTACTAAAAATTCATAGACCAGAAAAAGTTAAAATAAAACAAGCAGTTGCTGCTGCAATACACACCTTCAATTTGGAGCTGTCCCATGCAGTACTTCTTTTCCACCACTAGATGCCACCAGTCTCATTTTCTCTGAGACCAAATTGTGATTGGCCCATCATCAGAGGCGGTGTCACCACATAGCCTGGGTTTAGAACATTACAGCACTGAATAATGTCATTATGTGTACAGGAGAAGTGTGCCCTGCTGCTGCCGGAGAATAAAGAAGAGGAAGAGCTCATTACATCACTGGACCATCGAAAAGGCATATCTCTCTTTCTCTCTCTCTCTCTCTCTCTCTCTCTCTCTCCCTCTCTTTCTCTCTCCCCCCTCTCCCTCTCCCTCCCTCCCTCTCTCCCCCTCTCTCCCTCTCTCTCTGTATAAATAATTTGTTTTTTTTAATGAGTGCTAGAGTTCACCTTTAAGAGGCCTCTGCCTCTGGTGAATATATTGCTAAGACCACAAAACCTTTTCTGGGTACATTTGTATGGTCACCAGGTGAGCTCTTTGACTTACCCACATGCATTGTCTAACATCATCCAGTATATCTTAGTCTCTGGTTCCCCAACTCCAGCACTAGGAGGCTCCAAATTCCCAGTACACTCCAGCAGCCCTTTGATGCTTGCTACAATAATGTTGTGTGACATTTGTGGTTAGTTTTAAAATATTGGACAGTCTTAGCAATTGTAGGGCAATAAAGATACATCCCATCACATGCTCACTGTCAGTATATAAGTGTGCTCGCTGCAAGTAAGGATTTTCCTTTTTTCATTAGTGCTAGCCTCTCTATTATATGCTCCTAATATGTGCCCTGACACTCTGACACATTAACTAATTTAATATTCTAATGATGACACACATTAGACTTTGGCAGAAGCAGTGATGTTCTGAATGACCTCATTTAACAACGCAGACAATTCCTTACCGTGACTCACATCTGATTTTCTTTTTACGAAGCATGAGTGTAAAGAAAAAAAAAAAAGAATTTCAGGAAATGTCAGCAGACGTAAAAAGTAAAAACAGGGGGAATGACAAAAAGGGGGCAGCGGTGGAATAGTAAAGAATCCCTTCTCCAGTTCTTTAGGGCTTGGTAATTTTGGCAACTAATGTGGGCGGGGAAATGAATGGGACTACAGGCATATTTAGCCTGTCAGTTCTCAGTTGCTCAGACTTGCAAAAGGGTTTTCCTTAACCTGCAAGCTGTCGGTTTCCTTTTTATATGCTTCAGTTGCTTCCATTGCACAAGCTGAAAAAACTATATTATAGTAAAACCTCATAGACGAGCGACTTCCCTACAGCAGTACCTACAAGTGAAAAAATCTCCAGGAATTTACAAGATTCAAGGTGGATTTTTTTTTTTTTAAAGTGCTCAAGTGTATTCAAAAAGCCTTGAAATATGATCGCTTTAGTGCTCCCATGGATATGCATGTTAATTGTGAACTCCTTGACTCGTAAGTAATATTCTTTCTATGTCTTTTAGGTGAATGCATGCACAGGTTTAACAGAAGTTTCAGGGCTGTGACACTTTGTCCACAGCAAAAAAATGACAGCTTTGAACTCAATATGCACGCAACATTAAAGATATATCTATTTTTCTGATTTTTCTGTTGTGAATTACTAATTATTCAGTAAATTCAAAGGAATGCTTTTGTCAGTTTTGTCAGTTTTATGTTTAAGTGGGAATTTTTTTTTCCTTTATCTTATCTTGATGTGCTTGTATATGTTATCCTGGTTTGAAAATCATTTATATGTTTTAACGAAACAAAAGGAAAAGTGTTTTGGGCTGTATTAAAGCTTTACAAATAAATACAGTTAATAAACTGCCATCCTCCTATCATAAAATGGAGATAAAGATGAAAGCACCGGATACAAGGCTATACATATAAACAGTAGTGGTACTGCTCTCAGCTGTTAAGCAAAGCTTAGAACATATGAAGGCAAATGCAGTTGTTGAACAGACTTTGTTAAATTGAAAAGGTACGTCCACATAAATCCTTCTGCCTGAGAATTGCCAGTGTTTCCGCTGTGCCTCGAAAATGCATGCTGAAGTTATTGTTTTAAAGTATAGTGAAAATATACAAAACTCTAAGATTTGCTCTTTATTTAAGAAAGGCAAGATCACGTGTACCAACACCAAAAAAAATGTCCATTTCATCTATGTGAAATACAGCTTTTCCAATGATGTTCATGTGCACAGGAGATGTAAAAGAGGTCTGCAGGAAACCTAACGTGGAAGTTTTTGTGTGAATTCCTGATTTGACTTGCTTGAAGGAAAGCAGAAAATGTAATCTTCCTAAAGGTTCTTGGTAACAGGGGTAAGCTGTTGCCTGAAGGAACATATTAATTGGAACAATAAATAGGGAACAGTTTTAAGTAGCATGGACATGGATGATGAGAAGCAAATAAGGCTGTGTAGGAATCTGCTGCCTAGTACCTATGCTGCTCACTGCCTTCACTCATTCCTTCATTCATTCTTTATTCATCCTTTACATTTGACACAGGTTCATAAAGTGTCTCTGTACATTACTCATAATTTCCAAACACTGAAATTAGCAGTGCATGTTTAATTAATGATATGTGTATGTCATAAGCACCTGAGAGATTAACTCTTATTTGCATTAATTTTATTGAGTTAATGTTAATGCATAAATGTAAGTATTCAAGAGAGCAGTTTGTGGCATACAAGCATTAGATTACCATATATTTTTGTTGGGTATTGCATGGTTTTTCCTTTTTTTAAACGGAGCACTTTTACTTAAATCTCTGCAAAATATAATGTTTCCCTTTAAGTATGGCAGGCAGGTATTTTTATTTCATCTTGCTAAAGTCCACTTGCAGAGACTATCACAGCTTACTACAGTTAACTATTCTCACTAGAAATGTTGGTATTGTTTGAATCAAATTATATATATATTGTAGTTTTGGTCTGGTGCTGATTGCACACTATTGTGATGGTCCAATGTGCACTTCAAGGTCTGTGTGAATGGTTTTTCAACTTGGAAACATTGTTGTGCAATTTGAACCAGTGTTTGGAGCTGCATGAGTTGCCTTTAAGAAACAATAATGATTGGCTAATTTACCATATTGTTATCATTAACACGGGAGAGACAGGGGATCTGATATTTTGCAAAACGTTTAAAAATTTACATCTAGAGGTAAAGCATATCTACAGCGAAAGTCACTGCAGTCCTGTGCACATTGTGATATAGTCAGTACTCAATAATTGCTATGCCACTATGACATTCTTAGTCATTCCAAAATTATTTTATGTAGATATGAACAGCTTGCATGCTCATAGTGCTAATTATTACCTGTTAGCAGTCATGTTGCATGTGTGTGAGTATACAAATCCATACAGTTCACTGTACATTTCGCTAATCTTCACTTACAAAAAGTGTATTGTATTATATCATGCAGTATTGTATAGTGTATTGTACTATGTGCTACACGGCTAGCGACATAAATGTGTATTTACCATTTTTAGACTTAAATAGTTTCAAATTATTTTATAAGAATATATATATATATGCATATTAATCTTAACTTATTAATATATTGTGCAATAACAAGAAGAGATATGGTTAGTACTTAGTAAAATACTCTTTGTCAATCTCAGAAGTTGTATTTTGTATGTGATTTCACAACATTGAATTGTATTGATTCATGCTCCTCATGTTGTGCAGCCATAAACATAGGCATACCTTTCCTATATAGTCGTGCTAGGAAAGAAAACGGTTCATACATTTACTTCACAAACATTATCATGGGCAAGTGTAATTTACTAGTTAAAAATTGCATTTATGTTTTAGATTTTTCATGGTCTCTTTAAATAATACAGATGCCCACTTAATTTGTAGTAAACATCTGAGAATCAATTCATCTACTATGTCATTTGTAATTGCAGATACTGCAAATGAAATTCAATGACTAGCTTGCAGTGAAAAAACTGCGATTTGTGATTGGGTTACTTGGATTTACATTTCTTTTTTGGGGGATTGGGGAATATTTGTGGAGGTTTGCAGGCAGGAATTTTTCAACTTAACCTTAATTAAGCAATTTACATTACTGCTTGGGTCCATGTTTACATGAGGGACATGGCCTACCAGGGTGTTAGAAAGCCTTGTTTGCTTTAACATTATACAATAAAGGAAATATAATAATGCAGGCAGTACTTTTACGTTTTAAATTTCAGCCACCAATTTGGCCTGACTGCACTTAGATTTTGGCCAGCATCTGTGTCAATGAATGCTGAAAAATACTTTAATTTAATTTTCAGCTCAACGTTTGTACAGACTGTAAGTACAGACTGCTGAAACTGCTCTTATTTCTTTCACTTTAACAAGTGGTCTGGTCTGTGCCTCTGAGTGATCAAGAAATCGTAATAAAATCAGTTTAACAAAGCAGACCTGGGGTCACATAGAATTGTACGTGTTAAAAACATCTTGTACTTGTTAAAACCATCTCCCTCTTTCTAAATTGCCTTGTTTCATCATTAGGAAACCTGCACAGGGTTCACAATACAAAAAAAGCCCTGAACAGAAGTTGGATGCTTTTTCCAAATTAAAGATATTTTTTTTGGTCCAAAGTGGCACCAGATGGGATTTGCAATCATATGCTATTTATTATAGTCTGTTGGTTGCTAGATGAGGCAAATAAGTAAAACTCCTTCATATATATGGCATCCATTGATTATAGGTAAAATAATGTTCTACAAGAGAGTCAGCCTTTGAGTGCACTCCTGACTACTGATTTTTCAGTATCATACTGTGACCCTAATGTTAGTTGTAATGTAGTTAATTGTTTAAATTATAAATACACACACCTCATAAGCATAATTAATATTGTAGTTTTTTTTATAACTTTGTTTTTTATATTTTATTGGAAAAACACATTTCTAGCCCCCTAACTTATATTCTGTACCATTATGTAAGTTTGAATAGATTTAACATTAACACACAAGAACACATTACTTACAGTGTTAAAATGCTGGACAATTGAATTGTTTACAACTCCACTTTACAAAAGTTTGTTTGTTTATGGAGAATCATATTAGATCAGAGCCAACAATGGGTAGGATGGAGATTTTTGGGGACGTCTTATTCTCTTGGTTTAGCCGAGATAAATTGACACACGTGGGTAGCTTGCCCAACATGTACTATGCAGTAGATATGCATGCTGGGTAACAAAGCAGTCAGCTCATTCCAAAGGGAATTACCATAAATGCTTCTGCTTTAGTGTCTTTACCATGCTTAAACTTCAGAGGTTAATTAGATTAGGGTCATATAACTGAACTGGACACTAAGCCCCCACACATGTATAGTAATTATCTATCAGTGCCTCTGACCTGGCTGTTTATCTCCCTTGAAAAGAAACAATTTGGCACATACAGGATGTACTTACGGGATCAGTGCATTCAGCTGAATCCTTGAGAATCATGAACATCCTATTTTGACAGAATTTTTTTAACTTGACAAGCAAACACATTGATCTGGGCTTTGCTGCTCTTCCCCTCTTTCAGTGCCCAATCAGAGCTGCATTTTTCTCACATGTTTGACATTGGAAGTTGGAACATTGAAGTACAGTTTAAAAACAAAGTATATGTAAAGTGCAACAGGCCGATTAAAAAAGGGAACAATATGGAAAAATAAATCCCCCATCAAGATCTTTCTCCAGCTTTCCCAAATGAATGTGATTGGATTATGCCAGTTTTAATAAAAGAATAAGATCTAGGCATAGTTTAAATCAGAAAACCAGGGGAAAATCGCTTTAAACTGGTAAAACCTAATTGCCAAATATATTCCCCTGGATTAGTTTCACCTTTTTCAAAATATGGCAAATATGAGTAGAGAAATTACTCAGAACAGCCATATAGATAGGCAAAATCAACTTTGCCATAGGTTTATCTGGCCAGCGAATATGCTTTCTCTTTAAAAAAAACCTCTGTTATGTATGAGGAGTAATTACTTTTTACTGTTTGAAATGCCTTAGTCAAAGTGGCAACATTGAACTGCAGTTTAACCAACTTGCCCTACAGCCCGTACGATATTTTATTTTGATTTGTATAATTTTAATTTGAGTGTAATCTAAAATGACTAATAACCGGTTTTTAATATTTACATCTAAAGAGCATGTTATACATAGTTAGGCATACATCTAATGGGGGTCAATTGATGACTACACAAACGTATATTCATATTGAATGCTAATTTATTATTACCGTATAAATGTTTGCTAGGAAAGCCGATTAAAAAAACAAAGCTTAAACTGGCACAAAAGCATTGTGAATGCTTATTTTCCTACATTACTATATCTACAGTACACTTAGCCATGGGGCAAATGTTTCTTACACAAATGTTGCTCTTTAATATTATGCACTGGTTTACTATATGAATATATTTTGTGATGGGCATCAAATCTCCGCTCTTTTCAAAAACTAATTTAGTTAAGAGGA